AGAAAGATTACAATTCGACGACCTTCACAACAACCAATGAGAGCTCGGATTCAACAGTCTTCACAACCAACAGTAAGAGTTACAATCTAATGACTCTCACATTTTAAGAAACTAAAGCAAAGATTATAAAACAATAATCTTTGAAACGCTCTGACAAAAGAGATTACAAGTCAACGATCTCTTCAGTCCAAGATGTAGAGCTCATCTCTGCATCCCAGAAATGAAATGCAAGTGGCCACGTTCCAGAGTTAAAGCAATGCAAATGCAGCTCAAATCCAGCTACAAATGTAGTTCAAATCCAGCCACTAAAGCAGCTTCCAATAGAGGCAAACGCAGCTTCTAAATGCTACCAATACAACTTTCATCTGCTGCCCAATGCAGCTTCTAAACGCTACCCAACACAACTTCTAAACGTTGCTCAACATAGCTTCTAAATGCTACTAACGCAGCTTCCATCTGCTGCCCAACAGCTTCTAAATACTGCCTAACGCAGCTTCTAAATGCTATCAATACAGCTTCCATCTGCTGCCCAACGCAGCTTCTAAACACTACCTAACGCAGCTTCCAACAGCCGCCAACGCAGCTTCTAAAATATGCCAACGCACCTTCCAAATGTTGTGTTTAAACGTAGAATTCATGCCAGAATGTAGATTCTGTGTTTAATTCAAACGCGAGCTGAACAGTTTCAAAATTTTTCCATAATTTGAGGGGATCACTCCTCCACTTAGGAGTGATTTTAGGGGGGCAGTTACACCCCTTAATCTTCTTATAAATACAAGCAAACTCAACTGGGTTCAGGATCGATTTTTTAGAGGATCTTTGATCAATCTTTTGGCAGATCAACAAGAGAGCCAGAATTTTGGAGATCAGCATTCATCTTTAAGGTATTCTTCAGCAACAAAAACTCTTAAAGTTTTGGTACTTGGTTTATAAATCGATTTTTGGTTTAAATTAACTATTTTATAGAGTTTTAACTCGTTTTGAGTTCCTAAACTCATTAAGAGTTATTCTTAAACTTGCTACGAAGTTCTCCTCGACATCAAATCCAAGAGGAATAGACTTCCAACGAACTAAAATGTCGGATCGTCAATGAGAAGCAAACTCGACACGAGTTTTGAGGGAGGCATCTCATCGACACCAAGAAGAACCAAGCTTAAACAAAGGGAGGCATCTCAATGCAATCTCTGTTGATTTTTCTCTCTTTTGTAAATCAGGAAACTGACCGAAAAGATTTGTAAATTTTTTTCTATGTTTGTTAGAGAGAGATTGCATTAAGAGAATTGTAATTAATTCTTTTTCGGAGCCTATCAGAGATAATAATACAAATTCATTTTCTTAATTTTTTCTTTCATCCACC